GACTGATTCCCACAACAAAGAATCGGCCAATCTAGCCAAGATTGATGATCTAGATTAGTCTAACGGGTAACCAATCTAGACTCCCTATCTGGCAGTGTTTGAAAATTTGGCCGCCCATCTGCCTAGGCAGCCAATCGCCTAAAACGCCTAGACTGAACCTAGGAAGGGCACCTAGGCGGCTTGCGTCTAGGCGCTTGCCTAAGCGGGCAAGGCACTGTCTACACGCTACAATCAAGGTGGCCCGCCTAGGCACTACCTCAACGCAGGTTGTCAAGGGTGAAAAAATGCCCTTGGCTACGGTCAAAATTGGGGGAGAGGGGGGGAAAAGGGTTTTAGAGGACATTCTAAACCCCCAAAACCAAATCTATGCCATCTAGAGAAAGAAAAACTCCCCCAAAACTTCTTTTTTATGATTTATCGAAAGATCAATAAATTTTTAATTTTTTCAATTTCTTCCAAAATCAAAGGCAATGCTTGGTGGTAGTTTTCAGAGCGCTTCTAGTGGTTAAATAGTAAGGACTTTTGGCGATAGGATAAATGAGGTTTGGGCCAACATTGTTTTCAATTTGATATTTTTAGATCACTATGCCATTATGATATTTGAATAAGGTTTTGTTTTTTGCTAGAATGTATCGTGTTTTGAATCATTTGATTTTTTTTTTTTTCTTTTTTTCCTTTTATGATAAATTGACATGTTTGTAGATGAAAGATTGATTTTTTTGTTGTGATTAATTGATTATTAACTCATTTGGACGATGAAATTGGCCCTATATTGAATTCTTTTATGAATAATTGGTTCTTATTTTGTACAATATTTGATGATATCCTATTAGTTTTGTTTTAATATTCTATTAGTTTTGTTTTGCTTTTTTTATATTTTTAATTATTTGCATATGGAACGCTTTTTTTGAAATGATAACAGTAATTCCATTAGATAGCAGAGAAAAGCTCCGAAGATACAATAGTACAAGAAGAAGAAATAGGGAGGAGCACTCCTTAAATTCAAGACTAACCTATCCTAACTCCTAGAGCAGAACAATCCCATAAACCTCGCCAATTCTACACCAAAAACTACCCAAGCACCCAACTAATCCATGCAAGTAGCCTGCAATGAGCACCTCCCCTTCAACATTCTCCACATAGTCGGGGTTGGGGCAACCAACAATCTACACCAATCTAGCGACACCCAAAAGATTTACCGATTTGGACTTATATTTTGTGAATAGTCATAAACTTTGGATGAAATTGATTACATGAATAGTCCCTACTTGTCCCTATTCTTGGGCACCCGCCTGTGCTTTTTTTAACATTGCCATCCAGGTTTTAAATCACTAGTTACAAATAAGTCACTGACAGTCCAATATCAAAAATCATTGGCTTGGGAATTTTTGTTCTCCCCTCAAACTCCATCAAATTTTTTGATAAACTTTGAGCGGAGTTAGTTCAAGGAAAATTTGATTAATGCCAATCGTCTCTTCTGGTGAAAATTGGATCTAGCGATAGATGTGCTCAAAACACTTTTTTTTTTTCTTATCTATTGTTTTTAAGACCATCCCCACATTTTGGGTCAAAAAATCCATAGAAGGCATTTTGAGGTTAGTATAATGGGGAGTGGAGTAAGGAAAATTTTATGCAAGTAATAAATATAGGGGAGTTTTACGACTTGTCAATGAACTGTTAGATGAAGAATTGCTATTCTTTCAAGTGTCACAAATCCTTGAGTGACATATTTAGAAGGTGCATGACACAGTATTCTTTTACCAATGAGATGTCCTCAAGAATGATTTGGCATAACCAATTCCATCAAGAAACCTGTTTCACAGACGAGTTAGTTTCATTTCTCGTTTTTCTTTTTGGTTGGTAAGTGTAATCTCAGATTGGAATTTGCATTGTTGTTCCTATATTTTCATTTCTGTGTCTGTTTAAATAGTTTTGTTTCTCACTTTGCATAACTTAATGCGAATATTGGAGTTACTGCCCTCAGCTATAGCACAGCTAAGAGAACCAGGGAGAGAGGTGAACACAATCAATGAGAAAAATCGAGCTCCGGGGGCCTTTTGGAATGGGAAGAGGATGGATGTGTCCTACATGATTCTATGACAGAAAAGGGGTATATTTTATACTGAAGAGATATGATCAAAGGGTTTTCATAGAAGGGGTCAGACCACAAAGCCGAGAAATGCATTAGTCCCGGAAGATTTAAGCTAATAAGGAAGTTAAAAGAACCTCACTTTTTACCCACTGCTCCAATTCAACTTCACGCTAGACCATGATCCATTACATCAATTTCGATACATTCAAGTATACATTTTGTACATGTTTACTGGTATATTCCATTTACATTAATGAAATTCGACACAGTTTGAATTCCAAAAAAACCCCAGATCATTGACACTCTGGTCAAGATCAGAGGAACACAGCTAAGCATCAAAAGTTTATTGTTGATGTGGGCATCACAAACAGAAAGGATCTTGCGCAGTCCCTCCCTCAGGGAGTGGATGAATAATTGTAGGGAAGGAAAGGAACATAGCAAGGAGGTGGTAGTCCTAGGAGTAGGAAAGGTACAGGTCAACAGAATGTATAGAGGTCAAGCAACAGTTGATGGCATTTAAGAATTGCAAATGATGCTTGTAGTAAAGATTATAAGGGTGAAAAGAAACGAAAAGAAAGTATAAGGCGGCCAGTGGAGGACAAAAACATTGGGTTCCTACAAGAAGGTGGATGCAAAGGGATGAAAAGTTGGATGAGAGAGAAGAATGAATAGTTATTGAGAGCTTCTAAGTTGGAGCTCGCACTCCTTGAACACCCCTTGGGAGCCAGAACTCATTAACAACACGTTCCCATTCTTTTGGGAACACGTCCCCTGATCTTTGGGAACTATTTCAACTATTGTTGTTATCAAAGAGCATCATCTGTCCCTCGGTGGGCTCAATTGTGGGATTACAAAATAAATTACAGGATTTAGACAAGGAACATTTTATTTTTTTGTGGGGGGGGCAATAGTTTTTAGGGGCCATACATAAGCTTTGATGGAGAACATTTTTTATTCTAGACAAACTTTAAAAGAGAACTCTGGCAACAAAGTTGTTCATTTTTTTTTTTTTTTTGGGAAGTCTATCTTATCTTTCATTATTTGTTTCTTTTTAAGATTTATTGCATGGGTGCTCCTTTACTAGGGAGCTTCTGGCAAGAAAGGGTCCCCACCCCCACTCCCAATCCTCCTCCTCTCCCAACAACTATAAAAGAAAGCAAGACCTGTCTGGAGACAGAACTTTAGATGAAGGAGAAGGTAAATGGCTAGAAGCAACGGAGGTGCAACAAGGGGATTTGGAATGACACAGAAAGCATTAAAAATTGGAGGACACACTTTCAATAGGAAATGACCAAGTTAAGGTTCAATCCTGTTTTTTAACACTACACAAAGAAAAGTGGAACAAGGAACAAAAGGTGGAAGGAGAAATTTGTGGGGCTTGGATGGAGAACACTAGCTTGGTAAAGTTTAGAAGTGGTATTCATATGGCTGTCGGGAATGTGCAAAGGTGGACATTTTCGACATATAGATGGTCAAATTGGTTAGTTAGGTGGTGCTGGGAGGCTTTTTTTCTGCATAGTTTGGTGCAGGGAGGCGTTCATAAAGGCATTAAAAGGATATGAAGGATACAGATTGCAAGTGGCTGACTGATACATGGAAGATCCAGAAGTTGTTAGTTTTCTGCTTTTCTCAGATTAGAGTTCAATGGAGAAGAAATGAGTGACCTGCTGGAAGTAGTGTCTTTTTCTTTTCATGTAAGGCATAGAAGCAAGAGAGGCAATCTTCCATGATTGTTTTAATAACACAGTATACATGACAGTGAAGAGAGGGTTCTTCTAGTACTTAGGCTTTGAGGAAGGAATACACATCACATCGTGCCCTCAGGTCCTTGCTTTCAAATAGTGTTTTTATGGCTAAAACATCGCAAAGAAGAAACATGAAGTGGAGCCACTTATGGTCGAAAGCACTTTATACATATTCCAAATGGGGAGGCATAAGAAGGCTGCAATACACTGCTTGAGTTGTAGCAAATTCCTTTAGGTTATCATATGGTTATGAGGGAGCTGGAAGGATCCTGAAGCAAGGACATAGGCTAAAGTCATCAAGAAGAAAATCTTGCTGCCGAACTTCTAGTGACCAGAGGAGGACCTGTGGATGGTGTTAAAAATGAATGGTTACAACTGGTAACTGCTAATGTGTCTTTACAAACTCCAGATGTGAGCTGTTGACACCACTGGTGTTCCTTTGGGAAGAAAACACCTAGCATATATGTTAGATCCCATTTCGATGTCAGCGGAACAACTTCATAAACAGGTTTTCTTTTGTCTTTTCTTTTTCTTTTTCTTTTCTTCATTTTTTTTTTTGAATTGTTTGGAAGAAACAGTTTCTATTACTTTTTATTTTATTCAAGGTTTTTGCAAGGTCATGAAAGTTTTGGCAGCATTTTACTAACTAGTGAGATTGCAACAGTTCTTAGTGAAAGAAAAGTTTGGCGAGTCGACCTGAAATCACCGATTCAGTGGATTTGGGAGGCTGCCAAGTCCAGAACATGGCCCAACTTCGGGTATAATTTACTTAATAATTAATTATAGCTAACTTATAATTGATTCAATCCTTGACTAAACCAATTACAATTGCCTAGTTTTCTACATACTTTTTACAGTGTGATTTTTAATATGTTTTATGTTTTCATTTTTTTTTCTCATCTTCCCTCAGAAATCCTGAGAAAATGATCTTAAACCAATTTTCTATTTTTTCTAATTTTGGAAAACCTTTTTGCATATTCTATAACTTTTTATGCTGTTCATTTCTTTTGATTTTGCTGATTTTTACCAATTTCTTAATATTTTTTCCAAACATATTTCCTACTTTCTAGGGCTTTAGGGGACTCGGTGTAGACTCGGGCGAGTCGACTCGGAGTCATCCGAGTCACTCAGCTTGCCCAGAGGGGCAAGTCCATGCCCAATCTTGTCTCCTTTCATTTGTCTGTCACCCACGAATAGTGGTAGGGACCAAGATGTCCAGACACTGCTTTAATAACGGTTGTATCCCCTTACATGCTCCTTCAGATAGGCATTTTTCTATAGATCATCAAGGGCAGCAAGACAGCAATATACCATTCAACTTTCAAGGGAACAACTTCTTCAGTCCAAGGTTAATTTTGGTATTTTCAATCAGAAAAAGAAAGGGCTAATTTGAATATCTTGAGTCTTTCCCATGATTTTGCTTGCAAGTCTGCAACGCTTATTTTGTTTTCACAATAGTTTAAAATTTGAACATAAGAGAAATTTGGCCACATTCATATTCATCACAATCCTTCCATGGGGCAAGTGGCAACAGCAAGAAGAGGCTAAAGGCTACCTAGATCTTAGAGGCAAGGAGCACTGGTGTTCTAGAGGATTCTACAGTCACTTACTGTCAAGATATTTCTCCTCATATAGAATCTTACTGTCATGCACATAGGGATTCTTGCAACACTATACTTCCCATCAAGACATATATTCAAATCTAGTTTTCACAACAAAATATAGGAATTTTGTAGTTGGATTAAAATCCTAACTATCATATATGCATATTACATATACTAACTAACTAACTAACTAACACACACACATGCACTTGCATGTGCGCCCACACACACACGCACACGCACGGGCACGGACGCCCGCCCCCCCCCCACCCACCACACACACACACTAGTTGGATCAATCCTAACTATTATACAGACATGTTCTATATACTATATAATGCAAACGCACACGCACGCAATGACACACACATGTGCGCGTGCAGAGAGCGATACGATGTCCTACACCCATGAGCTGATTTCATCACTATTAGCTCAGACCCATCTCGGTGTTTGACTCCAAATTTTCCACAAACACTCTTGAACCAAGGAAAATCTCAAAAAGACTAATTATATATATATATATATATATATATATANATATATATATATATANATATAGTAATATATATAAGA